TAACATACCCCCCATACACTTCACTGTCATCCAACCACAAACACGAGTGAGTTGATCATCAAGGAAAGTGTTGAAGTGGGGTTCCTAAACCCTCACCCCACCCCACGTGAACTGAAGTCACACCAAGCATACAAAACTTGCATTTTAACAGGCCCGAGAGATCTGCATGCTCCAAACCACACGGACGACACATGATGCATGGTTTCTCTGCCCGGCACTCACGGGCCAGCGCTGCAAACCCCAAGTCTAGACTTGCCTTCTCAAAATCCCCTCCAGGTTTCCCTACCTCCACGGCCCTGGCCTACTCTGCTCTCTCTACCTGGCCGAGCCCCCAGCTTCCACCACCAGACATCGGCAGCCAAAATTAAACAAGCAAAAGAGTCTCTCGTGCCTCTCTGGCATAGAGCAGGTGCTGGCTCAAGGGAGTTCTATGTTGCCCAGAACAGAAGGCAACACAGCCTCCCCCAGCCAGCCAGGGACTGCACAACACCAGCCCCCAGCCTGCAGCTCCAGCCCTTCCTGACCAGAAGACTCACTAATGAAGACTTCCTGTCAAGCAAGACCTACTGTGTGCCAGAGGCTTAGAACTCATCTCCAGAGGCGCTTGTCTGAGCCCTGGGGCCTGCTGCTCTCTCTGGGTGAACAATCTGAATACAGATGTGTGCACAATCTGAATGAGAACAACGTCAACCATCCTCAGAGAGATGAAAGCAATGTGAGTTTGATGAGTGTTTTCTGAGAACCTACGGAGTTTGGCAGGCAGTGGGAGACAGACAGACCAGAAATGGCTCAGCAAGTAAGCAAACCTGTGAAATCCCTCCCAGGTCGTGAAAAGGGCAGGGAGGACAGGCAAACAGGCCCTGCATCTGTGTCTCCAAGACCCCAGGAGGGCTGTAGTGGGAAAGTGACAACACTCAAGAGGGAAACTGAGTCAAGTCTGAGTCTTGAAGCTGGCTCAGAACAGACAGACCAACAACCCTTGGGAGTCACTTCCCACATCCCCTAGAGAGAGGGGGGGTGACAGGGAGGATGTGTCTTACCCTCTCCCAGCTCACGACATAACCCAGGGGGGTAGAATGTAACGCCCAGACCCTCCCCACTTCCTGAACTTATTCCTTGCACAGTTCAGGGGATGAGAAGTACAGGTTGGAAAGGACAGGATGTATACACACACACACACACACACACACACACTGCCAAGTACCCACTAACACAATGCTGGAGACATCGTGGAAGGCCAGAATCAGAGAACAGCCTTCAGGAATGTCACAGACCTGGGGTGGAGACAGAGAAAGAAATGTTGAGAGAGTTGAGACCTGGGGGCTGGCCCCACAGTCCCTACAGCTATCACATAAGGTCCCCCCACCTACTGTTTCCCATATGGTCAGGTCCCAGTGCCCATTTACAACTAAGTGCCACAAGGCCCAGAGAGGGCGCTAGTAACAGGACACGCCAAGACGAAAGGACCCAGACCCACTTGGCAAAGGAGTTTAGCAATGAATAGAAGCTGGTTTCAGATCTACCTGTAAAGTTTTAGTCTGGATTCCCCTGCTCTGTGGCCCTGAGCTGGTCTGCAATTTCCTGTCTGTGAAATGAGGAATAACAGTTGCTCTTACTACTCAAGGATTCTGTGGGATGAAGCAAGAGCCATAGATTACATCTATGAGTTATATATTGCATCCCAAACCAGGGCCTAGGCAGGGACTGGAGAGACCTTCACTGATAGACTTCTTCAAATTACCACTGCATTGGTCAATGTTCTCTGAAGCCAACCCCTTCCTCTGGCCTGCCCAGGTGGCTCTCCAGTCCTCAGGGGCCCCTCGAGGGTTTCCCTGGGAACTGTGTGCAGGGCTGGGCTGAAGGAAAGGGAGCTCTATTATCCCAAGCCAAGACATGATGCCCAGGAACGGTATCAGAGCCTCTGCCCTGGGTGTTCACTGAGCCAGGAGAAGGTTAATTTGATCAGGGATAGGCTGGGAGGCAGACAACTGTGTTAGCCTTCTTAACTGTTCTCACCCAAGCAGCCTGATGGGTACGGAGTGTCAAACTTAGAAGCAGTGGACTTGGCTGGCGCAGCGCAGGGGGAAGGGAGAGGTTTGGGGCAAGGGAAGGACCTGGACTCTGGACTCTTAGCAAGTCCAGAGGTTTGGGGCAAGGGGTATGCAGGGCCTGACCTCACTTGTCAAATCCTAAGGTACGCAGTCAGTTCTTCCTACTTACAGAATGTCATGCAACCAGGAATGGCAGAGGTGGTCCTAGCACTCCAATTTGCTTCCAGAACAGTACTGGGGTAACAAGTAGGCCACATGAAGGAGAAAGCATGGGGGTATCAGAGACCCTAGGCCCTCCCCGCTAGAGAAGGATCAGCAGCTGAGTGTGCCTGTCTCTATGCAAATCTGTGGAAGCCACAGGCAACCTCCAGTGTAGCCAGTAACCCAGCTTTCAACCCAGATGTCACCCTGACTCACCTCACCCCCTGTGGCACAAAGGTTCCCCTTCCCTGCTGATCTGATGTGTCCCTGCAGCCACCCTGCGGAGGAAAGAATTCACTGACCTCAGTTTGCCTGAGCACAGCCCTGTGACCAGCAGCCAGACCACCCACCTACAGGATGGCTGAGTGGACCCCAGGAAAGAGAAGAATAAAATTCTTTGCAAAGTTTGAGCAGGAGTTGCCGGGGAGGGGAAGGGGGGGCTGGTCTAGGAAATGGAAGATAGAGCTGGCGTGGTTGAGCTCCACCCCATTGCCAGGCACCAAAGGGCCCACTGTAGTTCCTGTGACCCTATCCTTCACCTCCAGCCCCCTCCACAAGTGACAGGTGAAAGACCTGACAGGGAAGTGGGGAGAGAATGCCCAAATCACAGAAGTCAAAAACTGGCAAGCTGAGATTAGAACCCAAGACCCCAGGCTCCCTCGACATATGCCTGTGCACCCACATGAACAACTACAAACATGGGTGTCCACGGTGCGTGAGCTTCTGGGACAAGACCAACACAGACCTGAGAGGCTCAGAAGCTAGCAAGTGACATGGAGATCCTCCTGCCTCTGCCTCCCGAGCGCTGGGAGAGGTCTTAAGAAAAGGAGGACCACCGGGAAATGGGGGCTCCTTGGGAGAGACTGCTTGCTCTGAGGCTCCATCCGCTTCTTTTGTTCTTTCCCCTCCCAGGGGACAGGACCACACTCAGCCCCACACATGCACAGTGATATCACATGCCCAGGCCCATGAGGGTAGCCCTCACACTGCTGTCCCAGTGACGTCACCAATAGCCAGAAGCTGATGTCACAGCCCAAGGTTCTCACTGACATCACACACACTTCTTTCTCCCCAGTGTCTTCCTACTCTTCTTTTCCTGTCGAAGGGATGTTGGCCCAGGGGTCCCCCTATTCACCATGTATAGAAGTAGGGCCCATAGGTAGCTGAGACCGTGTGTTCACACAGTGTGCATTCACCCACATACCAGACAACATTTACAGGCATGTGCAAGCCCACATGCCCTGCTGTTGATCTAGACATGATATGTCCCACAGGTGTCCACAGGCTATAGAAGCAGCATGCGCCAAGCAACACACATACACATGCAAGCATGTCCAGCCCCTGCGGTGCAGCTCCTGGTGCTGAGATGCCCCTCCTCCGTCACTGAAGCCAACAGCCAGGGCTGCAGCTTCCACCACATTCCTCCAGGTACCGCCAGCAGCTGCCCCTTCCCCCCCAGCTTCTCCTGCCACAGCCTGACCTGCTGACAGTAACATCCGCAGCCGGACACAAGAGCACGCATGCACACAAACATGTATGAGCACTCAAACACCCAAACACACACACACACAATCAGTTCAACACCTGTATCTCTCAACAACTCAATAAGGGATCAGTGCCTCTGCAGCAACTGCAAGGCAGGAAGAGTCCAGAGCCCCGGCAAGTGCCCTTAAGTACCACATACCTCCAAAGCTGACTGAGATTCCCAGCAATGTTCCTGGCTCATTCTCCTTGGTCATGCCTAACACACCGAGGCCTGGCAGCCTACATCCTCCGTACAATCTCCCCAAGTGCGCAGATTCACACACAGGGAGACATGCAGACACACACACATCCCAGCTCTCCAAACATTCTGAGAAAGCCCTGCTGGGTCACAGACTGTGTGTGAGTGTGTGTGTGTGTGTGTGTGTGTGTGTGTGTGTGGCGGGGGGGGGGTCTATCCTGAGTCAATACACACCCCTTCCCACGTGCATATACCACCCCATCAGCCAACACACCCACCCTCTGCCCCCTCCTAGCCAGTTGCAGTCAGACACACACACACACAAAACACGGGAACACACACACACACACAGACACACACATCATCCGGCAGTGGCGGGGCCCAGTCAGAGCTGCAGTATGTCGGTTTATGCTGGTGCCTCCGTGCTTGTCCCACACCAGCCCTTCTGAGGAAAAAAATCCAACCCCCTGCAAGGGTCCCCCATGTACCCTAACTCTGGTCCACCTACTAAATTCACAGTGCCCCCGAGGGGAAGGGGAACAAGCCGCACCCAGGCCCCCTCACCCTGAGCCAGCCACCTAGCCACCCCGTCAACCCCCCTTACCAGTGAGAAAATGAATTCCTTGACCCGCCAGGACTCAGGGAAAGGGAGATCGGAGCCTCTGATTTGCCAAAATGGGGGCCAGAGAGGTGCGGTGTGGCACTGGCTAGCAAAACCATCTTCCATCAAGCTTCTGCACCACCACTCCGAAAATGCTCACCTCGACGCTGGTCCTCCCTGCCCTCCCACCACGCCTCCGCCCAGCCTCACCCCCACCACCTCACGCAGGGTCTTCCCCTGGGGGTCTCACAGGGATCCCCAGACCAGGAGGAACCCGGAGTGACTCTCCCTGGCTCATCCTCCCCTCCGGAGTCGCTTTTCAAGCCCCACCCCCGCTGGCGGCCAGGGCGCCTTCAGCTCAGCCCGGATTCCCGGGGTCTCCTCCAGCCTCGGGCAGCTCTCGGATCTAGAGGAATTCACTCACCTCCAGTCCCGGCTGGGATCCGAGCAGGATGCCACCGCCTCCGGGCAGCGGCTGCTGCGGGGCCTGCGCCGGAGAGCG